AACTACATATATAGAGAGAGCAAAAAACGGGTCGCAAGAGTACTCTGAGAACGGACAGCAGCTAAAATAGCCTGCCCTTCGGTGGGTCCCCGCTCAGAACTCAAGCTGGTTTTAGCTCATCTTGTGCCATTACAAAGAGAACATATCTGAAGCATATCAGACTGGTCCCACCCATATGGGCAGTCCAGATCCGAAATGCCAGCAAGTTCTGGATATATATATATAATTTGTTTATTATTTTTTTTAAATTATTTATTTTATTTACTTATTATTTATATTTTATAATATATATATATATATATATATATATACACGTGTGTAATTTAATTCTAAGTTTATTTTTATATTAATATACGTATATATTAATATATAAATACACTTAGTATGACATTATATATATATAAGATATATTTTATATAGATATAATACATGTATATATATCTTATACTTTTTTTTATATTTACTAACATATTTTTTTTTTTTTATTTTACAGATGCAGGAGACTGCCTGTCAGTTCAGGAAGTCCCCCTGCAGGCAGCACTATGGATGCCTATTGTGGCCATATGACTGCTTTTTCAGAGCGATAACATGGCCCGTGGGGACCTAATTTGCAGAGGGGAGACTGTCTGGTCTGTCAGACAGTCCCCTCAGACCGAGAGGAACACCGATCGGCGGTGATCGGGTAATTATGAAGGACTGTGAGGAGGTAAGGACCATTTTTTGTCAGACGTACCTAGTACGTCCTCAGTCCTCAGCGTGTGGGAGTCATTTAAAGTCCAAAATACGGGATTTACCCATAAAGGTAAGAAAAAAGTCAGTAGCCAATTGACCACCACCCAATCACCCCTTCTACCCTGACAAGAACAAAGATTTCCCACACATCCAGTCTGTAGCGTCAGGAACCATCTTTCAATGAGGACAATACACAGTGCCCTAATAGCTTCTCCCTGCTGTGTCTGTGGGGGGAGTAGGCATGCAAGAATCAGCCAGCCAGGACAAAACCACTTTAATGAATGAATGTCATTTGAAAAAGGGAAAAAACAGCAGGAGAGGCAATTTAATTAAATTATTTTAGAAACCACTTTGAAGGGAGAGGTGGGTGGCCAGTTGCGGAGAAATTTGTGAGCATTGGGAATTCAGAATGTTCCCTGTAACATAGAACACAGAACACTTGCTTACTTAGGAGAGTGGTTGGGAGACATGACAATAACTGCTAAACATCATACTCTCTGTCTCATTCTACTCAGTAAGAGGCAAAATAGGTACAGACAGGTAACATCTGACCATTTCACAGGATCAATTCTACTTTTGGCTGCTTCTGCTTCGCTTTCAACCACCAAATTGTCAAAAACATAAAGGCAAAGTGAACTCTGCTATCGTAACGAATGTGGACTCACAAGTAAAAAAAAATAGTTTGATTCTGAATTGTCTGCCTGAACGTGGGTGTGAAAAATATTGGCCTTTTATTGAACCACAAGAACTTCAGTCTAGGCATGACACATTTACTAATTGTGGTTTTAAAAACAAAACAAAACTTGTGTATCTTTTGAAATGTCCCTGCAGCCTAAGTTATGTTGGTCACATTTCCTTAAGTGTAATCGTGCAGTTAAAATTATTGCCACAGTTCCTAACCAAAAAAAGAGAAGTGGATATGCAGAAATTACTTACAAAAAAACATAAAGCCTTCTGGATTTATACGTGGGACTGCCTTGAACCAAAAGACTTAAATAGGAACCTATTTGACCTGTCATTATGTTGAATTACATGTTTATTATGATACAATCCAGAAATAAGGTGCGCTATACCTTTAAAACACTTTAGTTCGTGTAAACCATAGAAACCATAACATACCATATGATATATCTGTATTATAAAGTGCATGTGCAATGTGCAACACGTGAGAATTTAAATAAAAAAATTCAAACTTACAAATAGTAGCTGGAAAATGCAAAAATTGCACTGGTTACCCCTCGGGGTGATATATATATAAAACAAGCACAAGAAAAAAAACACGCATTCAAAGTGTCAATAGGAAAAGCATTTTTCAATGCTTTCCTATGGATGCTCTGCGTGATTGAGGCATAATATGCCTCAATCATTGCCGATGAGCTTCTAGTGGCTGTCCGGAAGACAGCCACTAGAGGCTGGCTTAACCCCAGATGTAAACATAGCAGTTTCTCAGAAACTGCTATGTTTACATCAGGCAGGGTTAACCCTAGAGGGACCTGGCACCCAGACCACTTCATTGAGCTGAAGTGGTCTGGGTGACTATAGTGTCCCTTTAAGGGATAGCATATACACAAAAGACTTCAGTTTTAAATTACAAAGTAACTTTAAATCACCTATCTTAGCAAACTAATATTGGGATTTGGTTACACCATATCGCCATGTCATGTAAAGCCTACCACTACTTTGCAGTACCCTGATATCAGTGGGTCCTACACTAATTTTAACATATATTTTAAATATATATTGTAGCCTTTACAGCAGTACCACTGTTTAGAAATGCTTGTTCTGGACTTTGCATTATATCATTCTACACATGAAGATTCAGTTCAGGCAGAATTGCAATTCAGATTAATTTTGACCAATCTGGTGCATTTGAATCACAATTGATCTGAATTCCGATCAAATTAAATAATGTGATAGCTGGTTCATTTGGAATTCAAAATTAGCTTTGTGATGGCTATTGCCATCAGATAGTAGTAGTTACTGCTAGCAGCTACTGGCACTTAGCACCAACTTTGAATCACTAATTTACAATGGAGGAGTTGTTGGGTTTTTTTGTTAAAAGGAAACTATAGGCACATTCTTCCTGGTTCCCTGTGTTATTATACACATTACTGTTTGACTCTTCAAGATGTCTCAGTAGAGTTTGTGGAAATTGTATATTTATGCACTCTTACTTCTGTATCATGCAGCTACTAGCATTCACAGCAAAGATTTGTGTGCCTTGGAGTGATTGTAGTTCCTACATGATTTCAGTTCACAGTATCTGCAGTTTGCTCCGATTACTGTAGTGCAGTAGTTTGGGATGTCAATGTGCTACTTTCAAAAATAAAATGCAATTGGTATGTTTCTCAACAGAGAGTGATGATGGAAGCAGTAATCATCATTTGGAGTTCACAATCAAACCCTTACATATCCTCAACCAGACATGCATAAAAATGAGTAGTGTCCATAATCAAATCGATTAGTTGAAATCAAAAGCCTTTTAATCCAAACTTGAATGAATCAATATGCCTGGGAAATAATGATTTTGACGTATCGAATAGTTTATGGATGTAACAAATTTTTGCACATGTCTATTCTTAACTTAGCTAAAAGCGATGCGCTTACTCACTGCTTACATTATCTCTGCAAGATGAACCGGTGTGGAGGCATAGTGAGTTTTCACGATAATCTTGTAAAATAGAAGCAAAGCTACATAGAATGCTTACTCATAAACTACTATGAACACTAGTATTGAGTAAGCACTTTAGGCAGTGCGCTAGCAGACCTAATGGTGAAAACATGATAACAAAACATACATAATATATACTTCTGGAATAATAGTAGGATAAAATAACAAAATTGAGAATTATGTGTACAGGATATGAAGGAAGTAATCACTATGCTGTACACACAATGTGGAAGAACTGACCAGCGGGCTGTTGCTTTATATTAGCAGCTTGATAAATTAACAGCGGATATCTCACCATTGCATACACTTTGTATATTGTTTTTCGCGAACTGATGTGCAAATTCTTCCATGTCACTTGGAAAGTAATTCAATATTTCAAGCCTTTTTTATGAGAAAGAACATCAGCATCCTGTTCTAATTCATAGATAATGAACTTGTTCACCTTCCCCATTCAGACTGTGAAATGAATCCCTCCATTGGTAGCTGCAGTTTCAGAGCTCACACCCTTGACAATAACAATGAGCTCTTGTGACATATTCTCAGGTGACAAACCTGGATAGATACAAACCAGGCAACAAGGCACCATACAATAAGGCAAGAGTTGGGTTGGCAGAAATTAAAGGAACACTCCAGACACATAAAGTTTGCTAGAGTGCTTTGTGTGTCTGAAATCTGCCATATTTGTGATAGTTTATAAAAGTGCCGATTTGGACCTCTTATAATTGGGGTGGAAACACCTCCCTTGCGGTCACTCAGAGAGCCAGGGAGGTTTTCTACTGCTTCTGTTAGCTACACAGAGCATAGCTAGAGCTTGGCTGCTTCTCAATGAGTTGTCCTCTCTTATTGACAGTCAGGCAAGTGTTACGTAATTTAATTATAAAAAAGCAAATTTCTCATAGAAATCTGCACTTTTATCAACTGAGATGAAAACAGGATACTCCTCAGCAAGCTGAAGTGCTTTACGGGTGTGGAATGGTCGTTTAATTTGCTGTTGGATACTTTTACTGGTTTTGTGGAGTTTGGCCACTTTGGCTTGATGGCTGGTTAGAGTGGTGGTATAGAATTCCAAAATAAAAAATAAATAAAACGGTGGAATAATTATGTGTCAAATGTGCGTGCATTGTGATTTGCATCTGCCACTGCAAACATGCACACAAGTGAGTGTAGCTTCAATAAGCAATACAATACAACCAAATAGTAGATCTTAAAGTATACCATTGTTTGGTAAACAAATATCTTTGGTCAAAGAGCAGATATACCTTGGCTTTTGTTGATGAATAGGTTTTTAAGAGGTCAGTAAATGGACTTTTTTGTGGTTTTAATTCATCAAATGCTTAATCAAATATTACAACAACAAAAAATACGAATACATTAGAGATTATATTATTTGTGGTTTCATACCGAGGTGAACTTAGTTACTTTTCTCATTGAGTGAGGAATTTCAGTGACATATTAATCATGAGTTGGATCTGAAACTTGTGCTTACATGCATTTAGTAAAGACTGCACCCCCAAACTAGTAAGGTGACCAGATTCACTTTTTTTTTTATAAATTCTTTATTTTTGAATTTTTGTTTTGTGGGGTGGAGGTACAGAAAAGAGAACAGAGGGTTAAAGTTTATGGTACAGTTTTCTCAGAACATACATGTACTTATGTTGGCGGACAGACAATCTGAGTGGGTTTATAAGCCATTTGTCATTGGTTTCAGCATATATTGTTTGCGTATACATATACAAGTTCTACGTTCCTATTGACTTTTGTTGTTATTTGGTCTAAGGGTTGGGGTGGGGTACAGAAAGGAAGACGGGAGGGGGGTAGGGTTCAGTATCGTATACATTGCTCCGTTTACATTTATTGAGGTTGTGTTGACACACATATGAGTGAATATGACCTTAGTCTTGGGGATTCGTGAGCCGGACTGGGGTACCTGGGAGAGGGGGTGGCGGGGAATGATTGGTGGGCAATATTGTTCTTATTGTTTGTCTGCACCCCTCTTGCCTTGGTCGCATTGTGTACGTATGTTGCTCTGAGTGATGGTGCTTGCAGTTGTTAAGTTATTTGGTTGGGGTGCGGGTGCTCTCCTGGTGAAGGATTATGGGGGGGGGGGTTGTGCCCTGCTCCTCAGTTTGCTCTTACCCTTGTTGTATTCTTGTTGTGTGTTCATGGTGGGGGGAGTTCCCTTTGTCCATAGTTATGTCTTGTCTTGTGCCGTGGGGGGCGTAGGTGAAGGATTGGTTGAGTAGGTGGGGGGGTCCGGTGTGTGTGGTTATTGCTCCTTCCTTGGGGGCGTTTGGCGTCGTGTTTGTCGCCCTTGGGTTTCGTGGTTTTTCCTGTGTTGAATTCAGATGTAGTGGGGTGGTCCATTAGGATGCGGTCGTGCGAGTCGGCTGTCGGGTGTGGGGGGGATGTGTTGTGGACAAGTTCCGAGGAGTAATCCATCTCTCTTGTTTCTTTTACCTTCTTTATTACTATGGTCAGGGTGGGTATGTCGGGGCTGCTCCACATTGCGGCTATCGCTCTTCGGGTGGCTAGTGCTATTTCGGCAATCAGATTGCTTTGTTCGTGGGGCGTGTCTCTGTGGGGTTTAGACAGGAGCCATATCCAGGGTTCCATTATGAGGTCAGTGTGTAGAATTTGGGAGGTTAGGAGCGTCACTTCGCGATATAGGGGTGCTATGTGTTCGCATTCTCACCATAGGTGTATGAAGGTGCCCTTTTCCACGCAGCCTTTCCAGCATCGGTCTGAGTCTGCCCTGCCCATGTGGGTGAGTCTAAGTGGAGTGAGGTACCATCTTAGAAGCATTTTGTATGCACAGAGGACTGATGGGTAACGTATACCGGACCTTAGAATGGCTGGACTAACGTACCAAAGAATAGTCAGGAATAGCCAAGGTCAAAGGAAACAGAAAGAGACACAACGATAAGGAAAAGCCAGGAGTCGGGGATGCCAGAAAACAGGGAAGTCAAAAACAATGCCAAAGTCAAATAACCAGAATAACCAGAATCAATAACGCGCTCTCGGACAACTACAAGGGAAACCACGACAGGGCACTGAGCAGGATGAGAACTGGGCCTAAATACCCCTTCTCTAGATTTGATAGGCTGTAACCGGCCTTTGACTCCAAAGGCCGTTACCAGATTTCCATTTGCATAATTGCTGCTTAGTATTAACCCTTCTGTGGACTTGGTTGCTGCTCGGCACAACTTTTCATGTGTGGACAGTAAATGTCATTAACCACATTTTTATAAGCAGATAATTACGTTACAGTACCTTCCCATTATCTTGTGTTCGATGTCTACCCACCGTTTGATGCTGTATGGTGCATGGAGGTTTTGTGCCTGTGCCAGTTGTGCGGTGTGGAAGTAGTGGGTGAAGTGGGGCAGTCCTAGACCTCCAGCTCTATTGGGAACGTATAGGGTTTGGCGCTTAACTCTCGCTCTCCTGTTTGCCCATATGAATCTATCGATGTGGGTCTGTAGTGTTTTAAAATCTCGTTGCGAGATCGATACGGGGAGTGCCTGAAAGAGGTACAGGAATCTGGGCAGAAGGTTCATCTTTATTGATGCGAGACGACAGGTATTTAGGTCTTGGTGGGCTTTTTGTATGAACGGGGTGTAGTTGTTTTGTTATGTTTGGGATAGGTCTGCCGATAATATGGTGCCCAAGTATTTGATCTTGTCATTTGGAATTGGAAGGAGTGCGTCCGTTGAAAGGGTGTGTTGTGGTAGCTGTATAGGGAGGGCTTCTGTTTTCTCAAAATTCAGTTTATACCCTGATACAGTGGCGTATTGTTGTAGGGCTGTAAGGAGTGGCGGTATAGAGTTTATGGGGTAAGTGATAGTGATGAGTAGGTCCTCGGCGTATGCCGCTACCTTGTACTCTTCGTCACTGATGGTGATTTCTTTGATGTCGTTTTGTTTTCGGAGGGTTTGGAGTAGTGCTTCTAGGGATAGGGCGAACAGGATTGGGGAGAGGGGGCATCCTTGGCGGGTGCCGTTAAGGATTTTAAATGTAGGGGGCTGTGAGGACGGGAGGAGTAGGGTCGCTGTGGGTGTTGAGTATAGAGTTTGTAGTGCTTCCATGAGTGGGTCCGGGATGCAAAATTTGTGAAGGGTAGCGAATAGGAAGGGCCATAATAGCCTGTCGAATGCCTTTTCTGCGTCTCGGGCTAGGAATATGGTCGGTATCCATCTGTTGTTTCAGTACCAGATGAGGTCGAAAGTCCCTCTGCTGTTGTCGTTGGCTTGTCGCGTAGGGATAAACCCTACTTGGTCAGGGTGGATGAGTTTAGGAAGGAAGGGGTTAAGTCTTTCGGCCTAGGAGTTTGGAGAAAATCTTGATGTCCACGTTTAGGAGTGATATAGGGCGGTAATGTCCCGGTTCCATATGGGATTTGTCCGGTTTAGGGAGAAGGCAGATGTTCGTCTGTAGCATGTCTGCGGGTAGTGGTTCACCCTCTAGTAAGGAGTTGAATAAGTTGCTTAGGTGTGGGATCAGTACGGGGGCGAAGGTTTTATAACAGAGGCCTGAGAAGCTGTCTGGCCCCAGCACTTGTTTGGTTTTAGGGTTTTGAATATGGTTGCGACTTCTTCCGGGGTGATCGGGGAGGACAGCTTTTTGCCCCTTCGCGGTTTATGGAGGGTAGGTGGATCGATTCTAGGTACGCGTTTATGCGGTGAGTTGTGTTATCTGGGTCGAGGCAGGAGTGTGGGCTGTGGTCGTATAGGGAGGTGTAGTAGTCTTGGAAGGTCTTGGGTATTCTGTTGGGGAGATCGTGTGTGGGTTCGGATCTTATCAATGAGTTTTCGGTCTGCTCTGCGCTTGAGTTTGATTTTTCATAGTATAGTTGTCTGGTCCATTGTAAGGCTTTCACGGAGTCCTTAGCCATGAAGCTCTTTATTGAGGTTTGGTGTTCAGTTCTGGCGTGGGAGTGAGTTTGTGTTTAATCTCGAGGGTGCTCAATTCTGCAAGGGTTTGTTCAAAAGCTGCCAGGCGCTTTTTCTGGTCGTGGGAAGCTATGCTAATCAGCCTGCCTCTGATGACCATTTTGTGTGCCGCCCAGAGGGTGATTTTCAAGGGTACTGAGTCTGTGTATAGGGTAAAGTATTCTGAGATGTCTTTTGAGATTATGTCTTGCAGAGCAGGATTGCGAAGTATGGTGGGGTTCAGTCGTCATGACCATGATTTGTGTGTGTGGCAGGGTGAGTTGTAGCGTTATGTCCATGTGGTCCGACCATGTGATGGGGCCAATCGACGTGGTCTTGATCCTGGGGGCTGCGTTGGGGGTGGTTAGGAATAGGTCTATGTGTGAGTGTGATTGAAGAGGGTGGGAGAAGAAAGTGTAGTCCCAGGAGTCTGGGTTCTGTAGTCTCCAGACGTCCAGGAGGTGTGTGCGGGATACGAAAGATTGGAAGAGTTTGTCTGCTTTAGCAGTGGGGGTTCTTCGTCGTGTGGGAGTGCGCGTTTTGTGTCTGTCTTTAGTTGGGGAGAGAGTGGCGTTGAAGTCTCCCCCTATTATTTGGAGGTGCGAGGGAAAGAGAGCTAGGTGGGCTTGTAAGGTTTGCCAAAACGTTGGAGAGGGTATGTTTGGTGCATATACCGACGTTATGGAGTATTTTTGGGGTCCTATGCGTCCTGCTATCGTGACAAATCGGCCTCGTGGATCAGCTATTGTGTGGTCCACTATCAGTGGGCATGAATTGTGAGTCAGAATTGCGACGCCGTTTTGTTTCTCTGTCGGGGAGCTTGCCAGATAATATTTAGTGAAGTGTCGGCTCAGGAGAGGGAATGGTTTGGACTGCGTGAAGTGAGTTTCCTAGAGTAGGATAATTTGGGCTTTAGTTCTGTTTGCCCATCTCATGGTTTGATGGCGTTTGGAGGGGTTGTTCAAGCCTTTGCAGTTTATGGACGTGCAGGACAGAGTGGCCGTCATGCTGGAAGTTGGTCCCTGCCTCTCTTTGTGGGTAGTAGTTGTGTGAGTGGGTGGTTGGCGCTAGGGTCTGTTTGGGGGCCTGTTTGGTGGGCGTGGGGGAGGTGTCCCGGCTTGGGGGTTTTCGGGCGTTGGGTGGAGGGGTGGGGAGGGGAGGTAGGGGGTGAGTGTGTGTCTGTGTATACCTCGGGTGGGGGAGTGACCAGATTCACTTTTAACATGGTGCTTACAGATTTAAAAACAATATATATTCTGATCCACTCCCAATACAACAATTATTGGTGCATGAGGGAGTGGATCAGAATTGCTCTGAAATATAGGTGGACCAGCAATATTTTAATAATGGTTATGGAAAAAGTGTTCTCTTGTAGGGTATATTCTCTTGTAGGGTATACATACCCTACAAGAGAACACTTTTTCCATAACCATTATTAAAATATTGCTGGTCCACCTATATTTCAGAGCAATTCTGATCCACTCCCTCATGCACCAATAATGGTTGAACTAAACAGCATATAATTTGTATAGGTGTAGTCAAATCACCCTGTGTTTGTTGTATGCAAATTAACAAGAAGTACAATATATTTCGAAATTCTGTTTCATGAAGCAAGTTGCATCCTGTAGATTTTGCAACTTGACAAACAAGTTTAGCTAAAGTTTTCCATATGTTAGCAAATGAAATCTAATAAAACCTCAGTGTTAAGTGAAAAGGGGGTGGTGTGGTGTTTGTGTGTCCTTCTTAAATACCTGAGTTAAATGTTACAAGTGGCAAAGATATTAGGGACACTGGTGAGGACCCCAATCATTATATCCATAAGGCAGCAAATCCTATATATGATTTTACATGGTGTTCTTCTATAACGATTATACATTCTCTGGTTTGTTACAAAAAGTTTCTCTCTGTACCCAGAGGGGTTTCAGTCACACTTTACTGAATAGGCCCACCAAGACTAAAGCAATCATTTGAGGTTGCTGTATCTCTCGTGCAAAGGGAGCTTGCAAGCATTTCCGATCAGTACTGCCCTTTAGTGGTATCAGTAAGATGTTTAAATAATAAATGGTTTATTTATAATGGTACTAAGTTAGTAAAAAGCTTAAGATCTGAGTTGAGATGGAGTTGTTAGTTTTTAGTGATCTGTTTTGATTTAATTCCATAATGGTCATACCATTCAAGAGTATCACAGGGTAACTATTTATATAACATAATATCAACTACACACCTTCAGCCATATTGTTAACAAACAAAAACTGATCAGCCACAATATTAAAACCAGCTGCCCAATATCCCCCTAAGGTCCCCCTTGTGCTGCCCAAACAGCTCTGATGAGTCAAGACATGGACTCCACAAGATCTCTGAATGCCCTGTGGTACCTGGCACCAAGACATTAGAAACATATCCTTTTAGTCAGGAAAGTTGCTATATGGGGTCTCCATGGAGTGTATTTGTTATTACAGAACATCCCACAGATGCTTCATTGGATTGAGATCTTGGCAACACCATGACCTCTCTTTATATCCCTCAAACCATTCCTGAACATTTGTTGCAGTGTGGCAGAGTGTAGTATTCTGCTGTAAGAAGCCACTGCCATCAGAGAACAACAGTGCTGTGAAGGGGTGTACATGGTTGTAACAACCTCTAGATAGGTGGTATGTGTTAAATTAACATCACCTGAATGCCAGGACCCAAGGTTTCCCTGCAGAACATTGCCTCAGCAGGCTTGCCTTTTTCCCACCGTGCATCCTGCTGCCATCTCTTCCTCAGACCAGACAGCCTTCTTCCATTATAAAGGGATGAAGGGATGCAGCACTTTCAAAGTGTTCTCAAATCTGTATAGTGTTGAGGTAGTGTGTAATGAGAAAAAAAATAAAAACGGAATATAGTGTAGTATCTCTTGAAGCTGATGAAAAAATAAGTAACACAATTTTTTAGCTTATGATCAGCTCCAGATATGTGCGTTTGTGAGGTATGATCCTTGTCTGTGGATATGTGGATGGTTCCAGGGAAATCCGCCACTCTTGATGCCAAATGGAATGAAAAAAAATGGGATGAAAATAAAAACAGAAAAGAGCGCTCTCTGAATAATTAAAATAAAATGAATAAAAGTAGTTTTTTTTCTCAATCCTACACAGCATAGGTGGTATCTTTCCCACGAAGGAAATAAAAGTGTGATTAAAGTAGTAAAACTAGTTTTATTTAAGACAGGGAATAATAAAACCTATATATATATATATATATATATATATATCATAAAAACACAAATGTGTTTCACCATATAGGGCTTTTTCAAAGTGTTCTAGCTCAATGGACCGGTCATGTTTAAATAACAAATGGCCAGATGATGTCAAAGAGCATGTGACCAGCATATAATTACCTTAAAACATAAAATTAAATATATGACTACAGAAGGGTATGATAGTGTATGTATAATGTGACCCGATAATTCAAAATTGAAGTTTGAAGCTGAAATAAAATATATAGGAGAGAAACGGGGCTTGGTGGCTGTAAAATTGAAAACCAAGATGGCTGCCGAGGAAGTCCCAATAGCACATGGCTAGTGCGGCTAAAATTACAGAAAATAGTGAGAATAGGTATGATGGATGCATAAAGGAGTAGGGAGGTGCCCTGTGTGCAAAATTGCTCTAAACGAGCTAGAGGAGAGCGGGGGTGGCACATAGAACTTGGTATCCATCTTAGTTTTCAATTTTAAAGTCATTGTAACAGATCACCTGGCACCCCAACTGGGCACCTGCGCCAACAGATGCTTCCTAGCTGACGCTGAGGACTATAAGCACTGGACACCACACGCACTAGAGACTCCACAACCGCCGTAGCTTAACTGGAATCTCGCCGTCTTCCTTCCACATTGTATGAACCTCTCCAGGAGAGCGTAGCAGGAACATCTTAGAAGAGCTAGTGATTAGAGCCCAGGGGAGTATACAGAGTATAGCAATCCCCAGTGTGAATATAGCAGTTCCCCTCCAATCATGAGACAAGACTATGTGTTGAGGGTCAAACAGGAACACTCTTCCTGCTTGACCCTTTCATACAAGTTTCCCAACAAGGTTGACGCCCAGGTGGACCTTGTTGGGCACAACAAAATTGATCACAGGAACCGCACTCACTCCCAGCAGCCACAGGTGCTCCAGAACAGGACCAGCAATCCCAACACGTCAAGGCAGCAAGAAAGATTTCCAGGCACTTAAAATGTGAAAGCCACAGGCAGATTTATTGCAACAAAACAGACAGCTGCAATAATCTGCCTGCGGCTTTGAGTGCCTGGGAATCTTTCTTGCTGCCTTGTTGGGCACAGGACACAAAACATGCAAGCCAAAAAAACAGCGTAACAATGAAAGACTCCCACATACATTACACAATCCCTCCCCTCTGCCTGTGATACAATTAAGGTAGATAATACAATAACAATTATCCTTATAAATAAAAAAAACACATATTTATACAAAGTCTAAAAAACACCCCAAATCCCATGTTAGCCCTGATCTGAGTGAACAACATATCCAAAAATTACCCAGATCAGAGCAGGGGTTCAGGAAATTCCTGGAAGTCTTTTTGACCGATCGCACGCATGGTTTCATACCCAAAACAGTTCCAGAGAATCAGGGCTTGCGGCCTGTCAAGTTTGGTAGTTTGCAAACAAACAAACTACCGAACTGAGTCAATAGTCTTACCCTGGAGCTTGTTCCCTTCACCTAGACGAATGATCTCACCGAACGGTGCCCTTCTAAACTGAATAGAAATGAACGCAGGCGATGATGGAAGTTCAGCAGTTTTCGGGAGTTTTTGTATCTGATTTCAGTTCCATGAGTTTCATGCCCAAACACCGTCTGCATTCATGCGAACAAGATGGCCGCCAGCTTGTGGTTGTTCATAGGATTCGCAGCCACCCAGACAATTAGAACACTGCGGTGAGAAACGTTCCAAGTTGTTAATAGGTGTTAACAAGCTCCCGGGTGGCCTCTGTTCGTGCGGTTTTTCGGTAAACTTACCATATAGTCCAAACTACACAAACAGAGCCTGTTAACAAACCAGTTCTGTTGCAGGGGCCATAGTCACAGGGTAAAAGGCTGGCAAGTAGTCCCCTCCAAACCCCAGTGGCGAAGTCTCTTTCATCACAGTCATCTAGTCCCCTTTCAAAATTGAAAACCAAGTTCTATGTGCCGCCCCTGCTCTCCTATCTGTGACATCATCTGACTGGACAGGACTGGTCTATTGAGCTTTTTTGCTATATATTATTTTTATTAAATAAATACATTAAATAAAAAAATTTAAAAAACTGTTTACTACACTTGGACCTGATTTTATCTCTGAAGATTTATCCAGAGGATTCAGGCTTTTATTTCCTTTGTGGGGAAGATACTACCTACTCTGTGAAGGATTGAGCAAAATCTACTTTTGCTCTCCTTATATTTATTTTATCCTAATTATACAGAGAGCACTAAAACTATTCGTTTTTTATTTTCATTTCATATACTGATGAACTCCTACTGCCACAACGCTGCACACTAATGATAAAGATCCCTGCATGTTTGGCATCAAGAGTGATGGATTTCCCTGGCAGAATCTTCGTTTAAATGACTAGGACCATCCACATATTCACAAGCGGGAATCATATCGCCCAAGCGCACATACCTAGAGCTGATCATAACTCAAACAAATTGTAAGTGTTACTCTATTTTTTCATCAGCTTCAAAAGATACAACACTATATTCCTTTTTTTTATTTTATTTTTTTACTTATTACGTACTACCTCAACACTACATGAATTTGAGAACACTCTGAAGGAGCTGCTTCCCTACACCCCTATATGGACAGTACCAGTTCACAGCCAGAAAGAAGCGACTCTGGGAAGTACAATCTGCCACATTCATAGCATAAAATTGCCAGAATCCTATTGTTTTATCAACCTTCTTTCATCACTTCATAGGCCAGTTCTGACACTCACGTCCCCACTGAAGGTGCTTTCGGTGGTGGACAGGGATCATGAGCACTCTGACCGGTCTACACAGCCTCATAAGCAGCAAACTGTGATGCACCTTTCTAGCATGACCGGCATTAATTTTTTTCAACAATTTGAGCTATAGCAAGTTCTTCAGTGTGATCGGACGAGATGGACTAGCCTTTGCTCCCCATATGCATCAATGAGCCTTGGGCGCTCATGACACTGATGTTGGTTCACTGGTTGTCCTACCTTGCACCACTCTTGGTAGGTACTAACCACACTGCATATCAGAAACAACCCACAAGACTTACTCTTTTGGATATCCTCTGACCCCGCCATCACTATATGATCCTTGTCAAAGTTACTAAGATCTTTATCTTCACCATTTTTACTACTTCCAACACATGAAATCCATGAAATGACTGTTCACTTGCGATCTAATATATTCAGGGCCAGATTAAGAGCCCAGTGGGCCTGATGCTGACAATTATGAGGGGCCTTAGTACAGAATCTGATCGACCAAAAACACTAAAACCGTCATACCTCTCAAGCATTATGTATCTGGTGGAGATGTTGCCGGAGGGAAACTCATAGGATGCAGCTATAAGAAAACTCAGTTTCTCTTAAAATATGCTAATCTCTCTCTAATACATGCTTTCATCTTTCAAGTAAATCCATACCCCCGAACAGCAGTGTCTAGTGAAGGAGGAAGTCAATGGGCGGTGTAAAAGGGTGGGTCACTGACGAGGATCATGTAACCAGAACTTCCAAAAGGGATGAACATGCCCAAAAAGGAAGCGTGTCTGCCTAAAGAATTGGAAGGCTAGTCTGGCATGTATGCATGTCAGGCTACCTGCCGATCATGCATGCTGGCCAACAGCATCGTGAGCTTGGCATAAATGTGCCTAATGATGCGCTCGCTCCATGCTTTCCAGAGACTGTCCCCTAGCACTCACATGTCCACTTGTCTCCTTACCGTCTTACTAGCAGGCAGAAGCTCCTGTTATACAGTATGAGACAGAGAAAAGGTGGATGTAGTGAGTGTAGAAGAAAGGGAACATGCCACAGTGTTAGAGAGACCAAAGTCAGCATTACCTTAACTATATTCATTGTCAGTCAGTCCACACAAGTTAGGGTTGCCACCTTTCTTGGAAAAAAATACAGGCGTTAATAATTTGCATAACTAATTATGTATGCGTGACATGATGTTAATCATAAAATCACCAAAAAACTACTTACAGTTTGATTCTGATGTATAGATGGATTGCTCCCAGTGTCCCCTAGTGCCTGTGTCCCCATGTCACTAGGGGACACTGGGAGACTAGGGGACACAGACTATGTATTACAGTGTCCCTATGTATCACAGTGTCTCAGTGCCCCTTAATATCTGTGTTCCCATGTCTCCCAGTGTCCCCATGTCACTAGGGGACACAAACACTGGGAGGCATGTGGACACTCAGACACTGGGTGACATGGGGACACAGACACCAGAGACACTTGGGGACATTGTGTCCCTATTGTCTTAGTGTCCCTATGTCTCCCAGTGTCCCCAAGTATCAGTGTCCCATTATGTGTCTGTTTCCCCATGTCTCAGTGTCTTCTAGTGTCACCATGCGTGTCTTTTTCCCCATGTCTCCCAGAGTCCCCTAGTGTCTCAGTGTTCCCGTGTCCCCTGTCTCCAAGTGTCCCCAAGTGTCTCAGCATTCCAAGAGGTCTCCCTGTGTCCCCATGTCTCACAATGTCTCCTAGTGTCTCAGTGTCCCCATGCAGCCTTTACCCCATCCCTCACTTCCCTGAGCTGTAGGCTGCCTCTGCAGGCTGGGAGTTGCGGTCTGGACTCTCTGTGATGTGTAGCTGCTCCCCTGCATATCAGTAGAGAGATGCAGGTATATGCTGTAACTTCCTATCCCTGCCTCTCTCCAAACACACACACACATCGGCCGGTGCTGGTATTGAAGAGTAATCTCTGTTTATACTGAGAAAAATACCGGCATTTGTTTTGCTGGTATTACTGTAATATCGGCACCGGCCAGGCAGCCTCAAATAAATACCGTCCAGGTGGCAACCCTAAGGGTAGTGTGTAAATCAATGGGCCTAATTCCATGGGCCTGGGCCTGCAGCTCCATCAGCCCCTATGTTAATCCGTCCCTGAATATATCCCACCCCTTGACAGGACTTGTGTTATTCACGTTACCATTCAGTGGTTTAAATGTTGTGGTTGGTCAGTATATAGTGATAATAAAACAAAACAAAATTCTGTATTTTTAAAACAAGAAAAGCAAAAATAAGTCAAATAATAATATACATTTTATTCTGGGTATTGCACAGATACAGACTGGACAATAAACAAACAGTACTTTGCAACATAATCTAACTTAACGATCACACTGTGTCTATTCTACAAACATCCTTCCTACTAAAATACTTATTACAAGAAAACAGTCATATATTTTATGTTTTAAATTATTTATATTTAATTTTACTGTGCACAGTTTGCATAATTCCTTTAAAATGTTCAGACAAACTATTGGCTCAGCTCCCACTTACACACGGCAAACCTCAATCCTATATTCAAACACATGCATCTTTCTTCTTACAGTGGTAAAAGGGAATTAAATTTGCTTAATTCTCACGTAGTATCTGAGCTCATAACTATATCTTTCTAAATTACACAAGGAATATGACATGATCAATACCTAGACATTATTAGCCAATACATTATTGGCATTCAGGTTTTCAGAATTGTTTTTGTACTGAATAAGAACAAAGGGAAAAAACAAAAAAAAGATTAAAACTAGAGTTAAAGTGAGGTGTAAACTCAGGTAACAGCATGACTGTTGAAGATCATAGCTAAACTGTGTTCCATGCAGAATAAACAAAGCAACACATAGGATGCCATCTGTTTCAGTGACTACGTATTAACAAGTAGAGGCTTGGAGACAAACAATTTGCTGTGATGTGTAAGTCAAGTTCCAAATGATGTCATCACATAAAACACAGTTCCTCTCCTAGAGGTTGCTTTTATCTATGCCGACCATCTGCTTCTCAATAGCATCTTATTTTCACGAAGGACCTGGGACATGATGAATCGATGAAGCATGGAGATAAGAGTGATTTACAAATCATACAGAACCTCCAGCACTACAGAAAGTGACCAAGCCTGAGTTTCACAGCTAAAAGGACAATATTGACCGTTCTCATTGGTCAGTTCCGGGAGACCTTTCCAGGAAGATCTGATGAGAGAAAGCAATAATTAATCTTTGCAACACACACACATGTATACATTACCTGAAGCAACTAAAGTATTTTATGATTAATTTAAAGATCAGATCAAGATTTCTTTCCTCAGCTAATTTGTACTTGATGTCACCTTCATTTCCAATGACGTATAACTGAATCTTTCATAACACAAGTCATGTTTTTAATGTAATTTATACTTTTGATGAGGTATAAGCAAATGCTGTTTCCAATACAAGTTAGGGTATGCGTAATATTAAAATGAAGTATGACAACTTTAATTCAGGTGATTAGGCTATATATAAGTGTGTTAATAAATCTGCTGAGTTTGTTTGTTTTTTTGGTATCTTGAAATATATATATATATAGTGGCATACTATTATTTCACACAATCGGCTTTATAACTCCTTAACTTATTTTGACCTAATCTATGTAACCTCCAGCAGCACTGTAAAATAGATTAATAGCATATCTGATTCTATCTGACATCTCGAAACACAGTAACACAGCAATTACAATTAAAGGTGGTTTAAGTTTTGTTTTTGAAAAAATTGTGCTCAT